GGGGGCTGGTGCTCTCATGTGGAGCGGGTGGTTGGCGGGTGCTCTACTTTGCTTTGCTCGTCCTTCCTTCCTATCAAACATCTATCGTCCTGATCGCTCCTTCTTTGTGTCGTTGTTACTTTCTTTTGTAACATTTCGAATCTTTCGCACTTCTTATGACCTTTCTGTTTTGCAAGTTCCGTAAAACTCTTCCTAAAACTGAAACATCACCCACGATATTTGCTCCTTCCTTCCCGTCAAACATCTACCGTCCTGATCTTTCCGTCTTTTCTTTGTATGTGACACGTGTAATCTTTGGCATGTGTATGACTTGTTTCTGTCACAAGTAACGTATAACTCATAGCTTAGTCATAGTTTAGTTTTAGGAAGAGCTTTACGGCTCTTTAAGCACAAATAGGTTATGTTGATGCCGGAGGTTAGGGGTGTTGCTTGAGATTAAACTGTGACTAAAACTAAACATCTCCGTGTCGTTTCTTTTCTACAACAGTCGCACGGAAATTGTACAGATGGGCGGGCGAGGGTCGGGTTGTTAGAGAGAGTCACTGGTGGCTCGTATTTCTTCCCCATAATATGCTGGTTTTGTCTATACTTTAAATGTCTGAACATTTCGCTACACTAAAGCACCTCAACTGTGTCAATATACGAGTGTATTGCATATCTGTACTCAAAATCACCTTCAATACCCCCCGGGGCAGTGCCACTAACTGAAGTTGTCTTTAGGCCATTCCCAAAAGGGGGACATTAACATGTTCTATTGCTCAGTAGAATTCATCAATGTCATGCTCACAACTGTGCCTGAACTGCAAAAGGGGACCGCTGCTTTTTCTTTCCTAATCCTTACTATTGTCATTTACTCTCTTGTGACCCGCTATTTCCGGGTTGCCTTGATAGTCGAAGCAGACTTTGTACTGTTGAAGCTAGAGAGGTGAGCAGAGTAAGTCTGATTCCCTGTAAGGACTTCTCTGTTGACATCTAGCCTATGGCGCTCATTTGACCGTATGCAGTCGCGAGGGCCGTAAAAACTCTTCATAAGCTGAAATCACCTTCATTGCTACTAACCATTTATCTTTCTCTTTCTTTCTTTCTCTCTCTCTCTCTCTCTCTCTCTCTCTCTCTCTCTCGC